AAAAATATTTTTTAAAAAATAAAAAATATTATTTTAATATATTTTATAAATAAAAAATACTTTACAAACTACTATAATCATGTTTTCAAACACATTCAACATCCTTCGAAGCATCATGACCTCAAGCATTTCACCATCATCACCGCAACAAGACGCTATGCTTCTAGTCTCCAGAAAGAATTACAAGCCTTTTGCCCATTCCAGAGCTTTTAATAGGACAACATCCAACCTAGTAAAAAAATTTTAATTTTTTTAACTGTCTTACTTTAAAAATTAATATTCAATGTTATTTAATAATATTATATAAATTAAAAAAAAATAACAATTATTTCTAATGATATTTTATTTAATTTTATTATTTGCTCAAAAAATCATAGAAATTATATTCTTTTTTAAATGAATTTCTTACATAATACAATTATAAATAGATTAATAAAATAATAAAAAAATATTTGATAAAAAATATTATTTATTTAATAATATAATAATAATAGGTAAATCTATAATATTTAAATTAAAAATATCAATATTAATATACATTATTTTTAGTTATTTTATAACTTTAGTTTAAAAAATATTTTTAACTAAATATATTAAACTATTTTTTATTTAACCTCAATTTCAATGATAATTTTAATCAAATATATATAAATATCTAATCAACTTCAACCAAACATATTTTTATAAAAATAATTTTTTTAAAAAATATAAATATAAAAACTATCACAATACAAAATATTCTTAAAAAAAAAAAACCAACATAGCTCTTGAACCTCTAAACATTTCAATATGATCACAGTACAAGTACTTTATTTACACAATTCCTGCATAACAATTTTTCCATGCCAATTTCTTATGCGTAAGGGAATGCACCTTGCCATCACATGAAGTGGCAAACAGAGACGGCACTGCTGCGTCGCTAGCACGGAAAAGAGGCATACCTGACAAGGGCAAACATCACGTTTTCGCAGCTTTCTTCCTCATCCAAGCGTGAAGTATGTCTGCTAGCAAGGACAATTGAGGTAGTCGGTATCATGTATGCATATGAACCCACTGCTACCGAAGGAAGACGGGTACCGAATAAAGTTTGAAAAAGTGTGCTCAATCCTGAAGTGAAGAGCAAGGTCTGTATTACTCTAGCCTTCTCAGCCTGTGACATTTAAACCAGATCCATAACACTAAAAAAATACAAGAAAATATATTGAGAAATACAAAATACACATAGTAATGTCTGTGTTACTTACATCACCACCACCCATTCGAGGAACGATTATGCTCGGTATCATAACTGTCATGCCAAGAGTCAAGAGATAATGTTGGAAACCTAATATGATAGCTTCAGCTGCACGCAGGAAATACAATGGTTGATTTTCTTTTGACACGATTAAGTGCTTGATCGGTAGCGCGGCCAACCGTTGACCGCGCAGTTGGCTATGCTATCAAACAAAGTTTAAATAAAACTGTTCAAAGCATAATCATGAAATTCGATATCAGAATTAACTCGATGGAAAGGAAAGGATAAAAGAAAGAAAGCAACCCTAAAAAATGCATGAAATAAGGAGATTGTAGAGCATACGCCATGGAGGAGGACTATTTATGCAGTATTGGACTCCGGGTAGTTGCTCTTTCACTGGATATGGTTGCAACTCAGGTTTTTTGTTAGCATCACCTCCACCACCATCACCTCGTCCACCACCACCTCCACCTCTGCCTCTGCCTCCACCACCAGCACCAAAACAAACATTGATGCCACCACCGAAACAAGTATTGCAACTTTGGGCCATGTATTTATTTTAGACACTTGCACAGAGCAGGATTTGCCGAGAGAATGTATGTTTTTTTAAACCGTTGGTAAGCAGAGAGTGTAAGTTGCTAAAGAGGGAATTGTAAAAGCATCGACTTTTGTTTTCCTTCGGTGGAAGGACGACTGTTACGTTTCTGCATTAACTACTATCAATTCTGCGAGGCATTAAAAATATTTATTAATTGCCTGAATTCAAAATTAAAATTGATTAATAAATGTGCAATCATAATCTTTTTTTTCTTTGTTGATAGGTGTCGAATCATAATCTTTAAGCAATAAGAGAATAATTAATTTCTTAAATGATCATCAATGATTTTAATAAATGTACATATAAGAACAAAATCTTTTGTAATAATAGATTATCCTAAATTTCTGGTTATTGTAACATAAGTTACTAACCTAGGCCTGGAGTGTACCATACTAGATTGAAGAAAAAAATCCGATTAATTAGATAAAAACTAGGATTGACCTAGTCAAAACCCAACCCTTAACTTGTTGTCTTAAAAAAAATAAAAAAATCCGATTAATTAGATAAAAACTAGGATTGACCTAGTCAAAACCCAACCCTTAACTTGTTGTCTTTAAAAAAATAAAAAAAAAATAGAAGTTAACCCTGACGTGAGGCAAAGTCCCATGACCGGGGGTCGTCTATGGTCAGGTTTTTCAACTATAGCCTCGTTGTCTATTGGCACGGCCTTTCCGTTTTTTTCATGTGAAAATACTAAATTTATCTTCAAATTTCAAAAGGCTAATCCAGCTAGACCCATCTACACCCTCCATACTCTATCTTCTTTCCCCACAGGCTCACATCTATGATTTAGACATCAACAAAACCCACCATGAACATCTCAAAATTCACGCCCCGCTCCGCTGCATCGACCACCATCACCCGGACACCCGCAGCCCATGAGAATTGCTAGTTTGAGGACAAGCCGTGAAAATCTGTCGGGCTTTCTAAGCCCACTATCAATTCTCCCATTCATCCTATACCCCTATAATTATACTCAGATTACACTCTCACCAATTCCAGTCTTCAACCAATCATGTGTTTTGCTTGGATTGGTGGGGTTTTATTGGAAAAGGCTTAAGAAGCCTAGACTACTTCACCAAGGGCAGGCACACTACCTGTTTGATAAATCGACCGCATGGATCCTCACATGGCACAAGCACAACTCCAAGACCGTAATCAAGTATGTTACCATACTTGCTGCCCCTTGTCTTCCATTTTTCTTTATATATTTTATTAATTAAATTAGCCCATCATAATCAAAAGGAGATGGGCTTTGGTGATGAATATGAAGCCATGGAAATTACTGGTAGGCTTCGAGTTCTTGGGAATGGAGAACCTCTTCTTTGTAAAAATCGTATTCCACGTTTCTCCGTTTCATTCATCACCCCGGAAGCTCCATTAATTATTATATTCATGTTTTGATTGCTAAAGCACTAGAAAAAGACCTCGATAAGCGACACAAGAACTCGAGTTCTAGCAAAATAATGACGACGATGATCGAAATCATCAAACCATATCACTTTCCTTCTTCCCCACATCAAAATACTATCAGAAAATTGTTTCTTTCATTCAATTCATCAACACTCACCAATGCCTATAAGTTGTTATCCTAGATTGTGTAGAAATCATGAACTCAACGGTATGCTCTTCACCATCTTCCTTTTCCATTGAAGCGGTACCATGACCACTTGGTGATATATGCCTATATGGTAATTCTGTGTCGTCAGTATAGTTCAATAGGAGCATAAGACGCCACACAAGCTTCAAAATGGCAAAAGGAATTGCGAGCGGTACCAATAACAATCGTTGATGGTATTGACGACCGCACTAACTGGAAGCAGGTGTGGGAGAAAACTTCAGTAAAGTTTATAGCCAACATGGGTGTAATTAAACATATCTTTGCCTACAATTTGTAGATAATATTTCTAAAAACTTTGGGAATTTATTCCCTCTATACAGGCATAAAGTGTAACAGGAACTTATGATATAGTGTAGCTTCAAGTAACCTTGCAACCTTCCAAAAGTAATAGAACTCTTGTACTTTGCTTCTTGGTATGAATCAGCAACATCTTGTCGCTTCACAACAAGCAGGTAAATCCACAGGGTAATTGTAGAGATACTATTAAGTAATTCTATTTATTAAAATCATAATAACTACACAGCACAGTTATTCTAACATCTCCACAGAAACTTGTGAAGATATCTGCACTATGCAAGAGGATCAAATGAAGTCATCGTGTTCATACGCACAGTTCGTAAATGTTGGCCCTTAAAGAAGGAAAATGCTATGCATGCAAAGAAATCATGCCAACACTCCACACAAGTGCATGCAGCAAGAGTTTGTATCAAGATTAAATGATTGACTGGGAATGAAATGAGCAAACACCACATGTGTTTATATGAATTGTTTCTAAGTAAACCATTGCTCATTATAAGGCAAGAACAAATTCGATTTTCGTTGGAAACTGGTAATTCATCGAGGTAAAACATGTTCACGATCTATCTCTTCACCAAAGAGAACTTTTTAAATAATGAGAATCTCAGAAAAGCCCCTCGAATTAGACAAGACACAAGGCAAAGTCACATACCACATTCTCTAGCACAATATAGCACAATATATCAGAAAGCACAAATTCTATTGTTGGAAAATGTTAATAATACTAAAGTGAAACATGTTTATGATTTATCCCTTTGTCACAGACAACATTTTCTGCGACGAGGAACTCAGAAAAGCACTTAGAATCTTAAACAAGTCACATATATAATCATTCCTAAGAGAAAGTAAACTTATCTATATGCCATTCATTGTTCCATATAATCTTCAAAACATCATATCCCTTAATGCTTTTATCAAGCTACCCCTCATCGTTCCATATAATTTTCACACAATTCGACCTTTATAATAAAGTATCCGATATGCCATTCCTTCACTACAGGCTACAGCATCACAGCTTGAATGTTTCCACTGCCCCGTATAAGCCCAATTCCCAAACCCAGCAATCAACTAGCTTAACGATAGCCAGCTCTCAAACATTCACGATCTCTACATCCCAACAAAACAAAGCAAATGCAATATAAGCAAACAAAAACAAAATAAAAACTTTGCAGGCCAATTAACAACAGGGAAGGGAGTCATTACCGCTCCAATTACTCCAATTCCTTCGAAGAAACACTCGAGCTTTGATTCCTACCCATATCACCACCATCACCAACCTCTTCTTTCTTCATCCAAACCTTTGCATTATGTCTCTCCTTCCACTGTCCATATCCACTGCCATGCCCTCCTGCATACCGCACATTTTCTCCATTAAACCTACCATCACCTCCCCTATACTGCCCATTACCACGATAACCACCATCATTATAACCTCTGTAATTCCAATGACCTCTATTAGCATAGCCATTGTAGTCTTTAGACTCTCTATTACTAATTCTACCATTAATAACCTTATTTGGCGTCTTTGATTTTTCACTCTTTCTCTCAACTGAAAGATTCCCGATTTCTTTCTCAATCTCCACCGTCTGATTATTCTCCTCGGCCGCTTTTTCAGCCTTTTCCCTGTACTCCACCCGCATTTCCCTCTTTCGCTCACATTCACCATTATTCTTCTCACTTTTCACTAGTAGCGCTTGCGCCCCACTCCCCGTCAACCCTCCCTCCTCCTCTTTTGCCCTAACTTCTCCTTTCATCCCCTTCCCCTTCCCCTTCCCCTTCCACTTCCAGCTCTTCTTCGTTTTCATTTCTTCTCTCTTCTCGTTCACATTTTTTTCAAGAACAGCAACCGCCAAAGCCTTCAATTCCTCGACATTTTTGCTAATTAAATTCCCCGTCACCTCCCCCTCCTCCTCTTGTGCCCTGGCCTCTCCTTTTTTCTTCCCCTTCATCTTCCAGCTCTTCTTCGTTTTCATTTCTTCTCTCTTCTCATTCACATTTTCTTCAAGAACAGCAACCGACACAGCCTTCGATTCCTCGACATTTGTGCCAATTAAATTCCCCGTCACCTCCCCCTCCTCTTGTGCCCTGGCTTCTCCTTTCTTCTTCTTCTCCCTTTCATTCCCCTTGCTCCTCTTCTTCGTTTTCATTTCTTCTCTCTTCTCATTCACATTTTCTTCAAGAACAGCAACCGACACAGCCTTCGATTCCTCGACATTTGTGCCAACTAAACGCCAGCGGTGAGATTCCCGGTAGGAATTGCTTCGAATTGATGGAGGTGACACAGACACTGAAGGTGACAGGTTCCCTGGCTCAGCTACTTCGTTGTGAAGCTTCTTGTGGTCGTGTTCCTCTTGCTGTTCTTTCTCCTTTTGTTTCCTCTGCTGTTCTTTTATCCACCGTTCTTGGAGCTGAGCCAGAGTCACGTAATTTGAAGGCAGATTTGCCTTTTTGGTGGCGATGTTGTTTTCCATGGAAATTTGAAGAGGAGAGGAAAGGGGATTTGGAAGATTGCCATTGTAGCAGTCTTATACCAACTTAACTTGCTGAGAAAGGAGATGTTGGTTCTTTTTTATTTCCTTAATGGTCCTTATAGTCCTAGTAAATAACGGCACTGCCCTCGCGAGTCATGTCATGTTGTCTTCGTCGATTCCAAATGTCAGGGGTTCGGTTTTCTTATTCATGCAGGGCCAAACCCTTTATTTTATTTTATTTACATGGTTGTTTAGCTCCACCAGGGATCTATCCGGCTCAGATCACAACTTGAGACAGTTGATCCGGGTTATTTTAGATTAATTTTTAATTTTTTTTAGAAAATAAAATAATATTATTTTTATTATTAAAAAGGAAAATAAAATAATATTATTTTATTATTAAAAAAAAACATAATAAATTAAGAGTTGAGTTTTAACTGTTGAATCAAATATATCAACAGCCTTTGTTTAGTTTGGAAGAGTGAAATTGTGGCCTTGAATCTGGTGTGGCTTGATGGATTACTTGTTGATGAAAATTTTAATTTTAAAAGTTTTGTTTTGAGTTATTTAAAAAAATTAAATTAATTGGAGTTAACATGATTATCTGTGATTCATACTTTAATCAACTCAATCTCTACATGGAGTGTCTTAATTATGAGTAAAATTATAGTGATCATACCGCACGAGTACTTTAAGAAACTAGATTACCGAGTTACTGGGTTAACCTCTAGTTTTATTAAAACAATAATATTTTATTTTCTTAATGATACTAATCCGGTTAAATTTAGATTAAATTTAATTAAATTATTAAAAACTCGGCAAAATCAAGTAAGTTTAATAGAGTCAATGTCTTGTAAAAAACTGGGCTTGAACCAAATCTTGAATCCCTAAATTTCTCGTATCAAACTGATGGGAGGGACCGAGTTTAATTGTTGTGAGTAAAACTGGTGACCACTCGATAATCGTGGTCCCGACTGAACTGGCCCACGGTGGCTTCTCTTTTTATTTGCATAGCCTGTGTGTGCCTTGTTTGCTGGATCATATTCATTCCTCTACAAACAAGTGGGGCGGAAAGCAAGGGCCCCGCCCTGCAATTATTTGTTTTTTCCGGTACTCTTCTATAAATTTATACTCCTAACCCTAAAATTAGAAGATTTTAAATTCCAGCCTTCTCTAAAACTGTTTCCTTAATTTGGCCCCCTAACTAAAATTCGTTGCTCCACCCTGCAAAATCTGATGTAAATTTTGGCATGATTATAGATCTCAACCTAAACTAATGACTATAAACAGACCCTTTAAACATCAAATCTTCCTTCCAGATTTTGGTTTTAGTTTGGCGTTAATTAATGGTGCATTTATCACTTGAATCGAATGATATTCTTAAAATTCTATTTATTTATTTTTGTTTTTTTGTTTTAAAAGTATTTTTAAGAAAATTTAATTTTTTTAATTTTTTCTTTACTTGAAATTAATATATATTTTTTATTTTTAGATTATTTTAATATACTAAAATTAAAAATATTTTTTTTAAATATAAAATATTTTTTAATATATTTTTTAAATAAAAAATATTTTAAAAACTACTATAATCATACTTTCAAACACATTCAACTTCCTTGGAAGCATTGTGACCTCAAGCATTTGGCCATCATCACTGCAACAAGACGCTATGCTTCTAGTCTCCGGAAAGAATTACAAGCCTTTTGCCCATTCCAGAGCTTTCAACAGGGCAACATCCAACTTGGTAACAAAAATTTTAATTTTTTTAATTATATTTTACTTTAAAAACTAATATTTAATATTATTTGATGATATTATATAAATTAAAAAATAAAAATTATTTTTAATAATATTTTATTTTATTTTATTACTTATTCAAAAAACCATAGAAATTATATTTTTTTTAATAAATTTCTTACATGATAGAATTATAAATAGATTAATAAAACAATAAAAAAATATTTGATATAAAATATTATTTATTTAATAATATAATAATAATAATAGTTAAATCTACAATATTTAAATTAAAAATATCAATATTAATATATATTATTTTTAATTATTTTATATCTTTAATTTAAAAAAATATTTTTAACAAAATATATTAAATTATTTTTTATTTAACTTTAATTTCCATGATAATTTTAATTAAATATATATAAATGTTAAACCACCTTCAACCAAATATATTTTTATAAAAATAATTTTAAAAAAAATTTATAAAAACTATCACAATATAAAATATTCTTAAAAAAAAAAACCAACATAGCTCTTGAACCTCTAAACATTTCAATATGATCACAGTACAAGTACTTTATTTACACAATTCCTGCATAACAATTTTTCCATGCCAATTTCTTATGCGTAAGGGAATGCACCTTGCCATCACATGAAGTGGCAAACAGAGACGGCACTGCTGCGTCGCTAGCACGGAAAAGAGGCATACCTGACAAGGGCAAACATCACGTTTTCGCAGCATTCTTCCTCAAGAGCCACGTGTGATCTTTTATTTGCCTTTTTGTTTTGCCAAGTTTGTGCTCCGAAAGCTCACTCATCCTATATCACCGAACAGAAAAGAAAACGAGTGCACTCGTCTCCCATGCCAGAGTCCACTTTGGCTAAAGCGATGCCAAAAACAAAAAAGGCTAAGCCAACCCTGATCGGTACATCCACGCAACTGACTTTGGGGCTCAGTTGTCTAAAATATCCATGCATGCATGGAGCCTGCTAGCACCCAAATCCCACCGTTCAATTTCCAAGTGTCAACCTCCTTGCCTCTTTTGCTTCATGCTGCCTTTCTCTCATTGGCCAAAACCACTTAAATTTGCCCCAAATCCCACCGTACAATTTCCAAGTGTCAACCTCATTGCCTCTTCTGCTTCATGCTGCCATTCTCTCATTGGCCAAAACCACACTTAAATTTACCCCAAAACCCATCAATCCCTCTCGACAACCCACTTCTCCTCTCCCTCTAAACTCTGTGCTTATCTAACAATTAGAAAATCATTTAGCATTTTCTCCTAAACCACTAGGGGCTTCTTGACTCCTCTCGCTAGAGAAGGCAATTAGGCAACCGTCGGTAAAAAATCATTCAAGCATAAAGAGAAATTATCCTCCATGATCGAAACTCCCAAGTCCCTGCTCTAACACGGCAAAAACAGCGAAATTATGTCAAGGTATAGGCCTATAGCTCCAAAGCCTGAGGGTCCTGTGAGTTCAATGGATGAGAGTTCATCCACGCCTCCATATTTAAGGACCCTTTGGACACAAATGCAGGCTAGGCCGACCAGAACCAGGAAGCGAGGTAGAGCTGCCGTATCACCACTTGCCATCAAACGACCAAGAACTCATTCGCTGGGACTCTCTTCTGCTACTCATGCAACATACTCTGCCAAAAATCTCTCCTTGCAGGGTTTTGCTCATGGAATTACTCAACTTCCTGTTCCAAACCTGGTTGGGATCAACTGCGGCATGGAAAATTCAGTTACCGTGTCATCAAATCTAGTAACACTTCCACTTCTTCTGAGTCCAACAGTTTCTGTTGTTGAAAACCAAGCAGCGGCTCCTGAACTTAGTTGCCAGGAACCAAATAGAAACAAGGTCATAGATGTGAACACCGTGGCTGAAACTTCCGAAGAGAGGGATCCCCTACAGCAATTACAGGAGCCTAGCACGAGCAATGTCATCACACCTCAACCCTTTCGACCTGTATGCTCAAACATAAGCGTTGCCAGCATCAATGAAGACCCAAGCTTCATCCCACCAGTGAAAGTTCCAAAGAAGCTAGAGGAAATTGAGGAAGAGGTTGAGTCCGAGGTCTTGCCAATAGTGATAACTGATTCCAACAACAAAGTGAGGCTAGCAAATTCTGCGTACAAAGAAATGGTGGGTCAGCCAGAATGTTCCTGGCTTGGCTCAATGATGACTTCTGATGGACGATTTGCAGGCAGCTCATCCAAGAGGATATGTGGGGAGGTGGTACTTCATCTCTCTGATTTGAGAGTGCCAGAATCTTCAACTGGGTTTTCATGCTGGGTGAGGATAGAATGGAGCAACAAAGTAAAAAGTAATGTGATCAATACTTTCTGTGATGTTATCAGATTATCCTGCGAATCCAAGGATTACCTCTTTAGGTGGAGGTTTCACATTCGAACAAGCAAGGATTCCCTATCCAAGACCGATACTTAACTGTTTTGTTGTATACAGTGGTTTACTAGAAAGCGCAGCTATGGTAGATGTATACATAAGACGTCAATAGTGAATGTCGAAATGCTTATAAGATCTTCCCTTCCGTTTGTCTCTTCTTGGGACAAGCGGAGGTTAGAATATCCCTGTCAAGATGCCTTCTGCCAAACAAAAGATACTTACCACACAAGCTCAAGGATTGTATCTCAAACAAAAAGTTGATTCCTTTCATTAGCAGGAACAGCGACGTGCATGACACATGAACAGATATCAGACATGATAAATTAGGATATGCTTACACATTTTCAATTGTCACACGAAGAATTGTGGTAATTTACGGAGTATTCATCCTCGGCCCTTGATTCACTTGGGCCCTTCAACTTGAAATTGTCAGCATACGATTTAGGCTGAAATTGGAAACGAAAACAATTCTCGTATAAATAGTGTCAAGAAGCAGACAAGAATATACAATGCCCTAATCCTGAACTATCATGTTCTAACACATTAAAAAAGTTTATCAAAATGTCAAGATTTTGGTGGCTGTCAGATAAAACAGAGATACCAAAGAGAAATCATGGGCACCTTAAAAGGGAGTTCAAAGGCGTCTATGAATTACCCTCCATCCTTTGACAAATTATACCACCAAGTTAAAAATCTCACCAGAGGGCTGTTAAACTCAAAATTTCTCAGTAGAGAGCTCTTAAAATTCCTAATCCTAACAAAAGACAGATATATAAATAGGAAAGCATTTTGCAGTAGCTACAGAAATCATCCCTAGTTTTCTAGGGAAAGCAATTATTCATCCTCGAGAAAATGGATTGCGGGGAAAAGTATACAAACCTTGAATAATTAACCCATTGCTTTTCGCTTTTCTTTCTGTACTTCTCCATAGCTAAACAATTAAACCAGAACAGGGTTTAGGTTTTAAGACAAAACAAACACGAAACTCGCACTTGCACGAAGGTATTGCTCAGGGATTTCAAAGATCACGCAGACCTTGATGGGATCGATCTTAATAAGGCGTTTCAAGAGCATAATCGTTAAACCCGACGCAAAAGGACTGTAATCTAGAATCTAATCCACGTCGGATTTTTAATTTACTAAACTAGATTTTTAATCATTTAATTAACCCAATTAAATCTAGTTCAAATCTCGGCACATCTAAATCGAAGAGTTTTTTAAAAAGAAAAAAATAAAATGATGTTGGTTTAATCAAAATAATTAATTCGAGTTATCGGTAACTTGCAAAATTATCCTAATAATTCGATAATCAAACCTTTTTCTAAATTATTTTTTAAACAGAGTCCGACAAGCTAAAACGAACCATCTTCTTGAGGATCAAAGACCAACCGGTGGTTTAGAGCACGAGAGGTCGCCATTTTTTGGAGCTTTGCTTGATCAGGTTTCTTCAACGCTAATTGAGCACAAGCGCCTTCTGCTGATGAGCTTGGGTCTCGTCGACAATCTTTGAATGCTTGCGGAAATGCTCTGAGAAAAACGTGTAAATTTGTTGCCCACCAGATTTACTAGAAGTTTCGCGCTTTCTCTGCTGCCGCATCTCCATGCTGCCACGTACGACTTCATGTTGAAATTATTAAAAAATCGGTAAATTAATTTTTTCATCCCGTAGATTTAGCCGTACTTCATTTAGGCTCCTATATTTTTAAATATTTACAATATTCATCCTGATGTGCCCAAATAATCAATTATTTTCTTACTTGCCCCTCCAACCTAAATCCGAGGTTTCACCCCTAATTGTAATCCATGAACCGTGAGGGCTTGGCGGGTCTATTTAAGACTGGACAAACTAAAATGTAGATTAGTACAAGTTAAAAAGTTCTTTTAAAAAAAACTTGATTAACCTTTTTTAATCTTATTAAAAATCAAAGTTAATCTATTTATCGGAACTAAACTTAACTTTAAATCATCATCTCTTTTTTATAATTTAAATCAACCTTTTAATTCGAGATTCGGACCAGTTTTGCAATGGTTGATATCAATTTAATTTTAATTTTAAATGGTGTAATTCAATTAATTGTATTTTAAATTTATTTTTTAAAATTTATTAATTTGGGCCTTATAAATCTAAAATTATTAAATATTTATATAATTATTAATTTTAAAGTTTATAAAATTAATCATTAAAGATTTATATAATTATTAATTTTAAAATTTATAAAATTAATCAAATAGTCTTAAGTTAATCATTCACTCTTATTAATAAATAAATAAATAAAAATGTAATGGTGTGCCACCTTTGATAATAGTAGCATCCATCTATCACGGTTTTTTTTAAACCCATAATCATAATAATAGAACCATAAGAGCTTGACGGGTCTATTTAAGATTGGACAGACTAAAATGTAGACTCCTACAAATTAGAAAGTAAACAAAAAAAACACTTGATTAACCTTTTTTAACCTTATTAAAAATCAAAGTTAATCTATTTAAAGAAACTAAACTTAATTTTAAATCATCATCTCTTTTTTATAATTTAAATCAACCTTTTAATGCGAGATTCAGGGCCCAGTTTTGCAATGGTTGTAACAACTAACTATAATATATTTAATATTAACATCAATTTAATTTTGAATGGTGTGTTATATTTTAAATTTATTTTTTAAAATTTTTTAATTTGAATTTTATAAATTTCAGATTATTAAAAATTTATATAATTATTAATTTTAAAACCTATAAAATTAATTTAATTGAAATACCCATAAATTAATCATTCACTCTTACTAATAAATAAAAATATCAACTTTGATAATGGTGTGCCAACTCTGATAATAGTGGCATCCATCTATCCCGGTTTCTTGCTTCAAGAGCGCAAGTCTTCTATCACGGTTTCTTGCTTCAAGAGCGCAAGTCTTGAATAAAGAATAATTGCTTGGCTATGTACTTAATTGATTTAGCAAAGGCACATTCATCACGATGGAGATTCGAAAATACAAATACAGGAATGTTCCATAGCATTTTAAAGGGATGAAAATTTATGTTTCCTTGTTGCCAAAACAACCTGCAGCTGAGGTTACAAGGATAGATTGCTTTTGCTTTTGTTTTTTTTATATTTTTTAAAGTATTTTAATTTAAACAAATTATTAAATTAATATTTTTAGTGTTTTCTTTGTATTTTTTAAAGTATTTTAATTTAAAAATTATTAAATTAATATTTATAGTGTTATCTTTCTAATTTTAATGCAAAACGAGTGTAACTAGCTCATGAAGTTCCTCATCAATTTCATTTTTTTTCAATTTTGTCGTTATTCTGATTTCGTAGGGCCTGAGCAAAATGCAATGGGTGATTTGTTGGCAAATTTCCAGGCGCTGCCTTCGATTGGTAAGAGGGCAGAGAGAATGTACTCGCTTCTTGCCTGGCCCATTGCCATCCCTGGAGCCAAGCTGTAAATGATGAAGGAAGTTGGTTTCTTTCCTCCATGGCTCTATCTGGGACAGCAACAAGGTTAGCTGCTGATATAACACAGAAACTAGGATGATTGTGAAGGGTATCATGACTACATTACGCATGTTGTCAAAACTAAATTAAATATAATTATCTGACCGGTACGAGGCTTCATCCAAAAAAAGAGAATTTGTTGGTCGATCATATATAGTTATCTTGCCGAATCACAAGTTAACCTGAATCTATTATTTTTGTTCAAAATAAAATCATTTCAGTTTTTTTGAAAAAAAAATCTTAAAAATTTCTGTAACCATGTTTAATAACTACAGAAACACATTTTCGGAACTGGTAAGCACAAATAAGTTTTTTAAGTAATTGACTGCGATGATGGTGTGTTCCACAAGGAAGTATTCTCTCTTCTTGTTATCCAATAACCGTATCACTGTCTATTGGCCCGTTACCCATGAGATAATCCCAAAACTACAAACAGGTGTGTTCACAAAACAAGCTTACAATAGCCATGGGTGCAGAATAATGTCGAGTCAATTGCTGGCGGGGATTCAAAAGCACACCGGCTGTATATTCCTAGTTTTACTTCTCTCCATTTGTCGGCTTCGATGCCAGTTCTTATTTAGGTAGCATCGAGAGCTACTCTCAAAATTAATCACTGTTCGTCCTCTTCGTTGCTCCCTTTATGCTTTGTCATTGATCAAATAGCCCAGAGAACCTCCCATCCCAGCATACTTTAAACTAGAAACCCTTGTGTCTTTTTCTCTGTCTGTGAATATCAAGCTCATTAATGGCACTCCATGAAGAGGATTCATTGATATCCAAGCTGAATTTAGCATGTTCTGATTTGAAAACACTGCTTCAAGCCTCTTCCAAGATTGAAGATACCTTAGAAAAAATGGATAAAAAGTTCGATGTTATAGATGAAAGTCTCTCAACTTCCTCAAGAATAGTAGCTCCTTTGCATTCTTTGGCCATGGCTGCAAAAGCCCTTGAAACCAGAATCAATAGAGCTGTCTCTCCCGCCCTTGCCCTCCTTGACAGCTTCAAGCTCTGCGAGTCTCTCCAACAGAAGCTCCTCGAAGTTTCTTCCCAATTATCTGCAGATAAAAATCCCAAGAAACGGCTAAAGCTCTTGCTTAAACTTGTTGATTGTGTTGATAAGCTAAATGCAGTCATAAACACAATTAGTGAAAATGGTGAGCCAGTGATTCAAAAGCTGCAAGAGGTGGTGGAATTCTTGAGCAGGACCAAAGCCACGGTTCAGTACAGGGCGTATAGATTAAGAGAGACTTTGGTCACACTCAAGATTCTTTACGAGACAGAGATTGATACAATGAAGTTTGATGGGTTGCTTGACGAGGCTTTACTCAATTTGCAAGATGAGCATGAGAGCATATTGCAGAAACTGAAGCACCATAATATTGATGAATCCCAGGGGGGTAATAAACTTGACATGGCTGATTCTGATCTGGGAACAGAGCTGGAGATTGAAGTCCTCAGACGAATTTCAGAAACTCTAGCTGCCAATGATTGCCTGGACATATGCATTGATATCTACGTCAAGGTATGTGACAAATAAACTTCTTTTCTTAAAAAGGATATCTACGTCAATGTATGTGACGAATAAACTTCTTTTCTTAAAAAGTTTGCTGACATCTAGAAAGCATAGCAGAGAAATATGAAGCCATGCTAACTTCTAACTTGAACGCATCAAATTCAAACAATTCGATGTTTTAATAAATCATTCATAAGATATCACGGTATTAATATATATCGCAAATTGCTAAAGATCTAGCAACTGGAGTCTTATATATTTCTTCTTCTTCGATAGGTG